AGAGGTGAGCCAACCTCAGCCGAGACGCGCCAGCTGAGCTGGATGTTGGCCATCTTTAGGAGTAAACCATCCGGTTTTTTCGGATTTTTGGGGCTGGGGGTGATACCCAATTTTGACCCCATCCCCCAGCCCCAGATCCCTGGGGAGCTGACAAGCCAATCAGCTGACACACCTCATGCCTTGGAGCTGTGACAGGAGATTTGGAGCTAGCCGGTTCCACATGTTTCCAGAGCTGTAAAACATCCAGCAAATCGATCCATAAACTGACCAGGTTTCAGAAACCCAGAAATTCTGGCACGATAAATTCCTCACCTTGATGGAGACTATGGTGGGCCGAACTGTCGCCATTCCAAGTGCCCCGAACTCCCATAGAGTCTCTCGCAGGTAAAGCAGCTGCCTGGGCTCCAACAATTCAACAGCTGAGGTTAGCGATGCTTGACCTTTGAAAAGGTGGGATGTCCCAGATTCGAAGCGGGATATGACTATGGATTCATGGATCAACAGCCTGATGAGATAGTGCAGAGTGATGGTGGGTTCTTTTCTCAGTGGTGTCTGGTGTCCAATACTCAAATTGACCATGTTCAGCAGTTTCTTGGACGACCTGTTTCTAAACAAACCGATATGATATAAGTCCTAAAAATCCTGGCAGACCAGGCATGACCCTCCCCGTCATTGGCAAGGTTTTTGGGTGAGTCATCTCAACAAGACTTGTGAAATCGAAGTCTGAGACGAAATCAAGGGACCCTGCAGTACCGTGTGTGATCAGTTCAACTGTACAATTTGTGTTTTATTGTAGTTCTTTTCCTGTTTGTGTTCCTGAATGTTCCCAATGATCGCTTTGAAAGTGCCTTGAAGCGCCAGAGGTCGGCCCAACTTCCGCCAAAAATCCCAAGTCCAATACTGCTACCTTTGACCAATTTCCCCCTGTGCTAGATCACAAGTCCTTCTTGGACCCAATTCCAGCTTTTGTTGCTTGAATCATCTCAAATCACCAAAAAAACAACTACATCTTTTGCTACTCCTTGGCTGAGTGTCTGAGTGTCAGGGCTGTGGCTCCTGTCGTCCGCGAAAGCTTAAGAGCTCCAAGGGCAACTGGTTTTGGACCTCGGGATGGAATTTTGGGTCAAATTGAAACAGCGCCACCGATGCAGGTTTTTTGACATCATGTATTTCTATGTGAAATCCATTGCACAATCATTATACATACATTATGTACGGAAAAAAATAATGTATCTACAGTAGATTTCTACTCTCCCCAAAACATGTACAACTTCTCCAATGTTTCTCCATCCTGGGCACCATACCCAGGCTTTGATCTGAACCTGGATCTGCCTGGAGATCGTAGAACGCGGATGGCGATATTTGGGTGATATCTAGGTGGGATCATCTTATTCGATAGGGACAGATATACACCTTATAGTAGGGGATCATCGTCATATTATAGTATTATCTAGGGGATTATCACACAAATAGTTTCACAGATATACACACCTTATTTCTTTTGCTCGCCACCTTTGCCAGCCTGGAAACTCCCAGTTCCCTGGCAGCCGGTCCGGCCGATTTTTTGGAAGCCCAAGGTGCTCGATCTCCACCGCGAGCGGCTCTGCGACCTGTCCCAAAATTGTCAACTCAGAATTCAAAATGGTTTTCTTGTCTATACCCGTTCCCTAAAGAGCAAAATTGGTCAAGTGAATGCTTGAATTTGTTTGAATATTTCGAACAGCACAGTTCGCAGGCGTTCCTACAGCCAATCATCCTAACAATTGTAGTGTATAGTCGATTTCCTGATCATTCATGGCGTTAACTCACAAAGAAAATGGGGATTCGGTTCGATAATTTTCTGATTGGATCTTTCCAGCCCTGCAGCTGCAACTGTCCCACAAGGACAAACATCAGCTGGGTGTCTCTGAAAATGGGAAAATGGGCCCAGAAGTCTTGCCGTTTGGATCTGACGAGGAACCGGATTTGGAATGCGCCTGTTCCGCAGCATCTCCCTGAAGCTGCATATCCAAGGGTCCTTCGGGCTCCCAAGGGACCAACCTCGGATCGGATGAGGAGGGCCAGTGGGCAGGACATGTGTTCTTTTTGGCGAGGCCGTGCTATTTTTAGTCGGGCATTCCCGAAACCAACTGCCAGGGTTTGGGTGACATTTAAGAAACTCTGTCCCTTCAGCTGGAGAAAGGCTAACATGCGTTGAACACACGGTGGGCGACTGGCTGCTGATGTTGATCACATTTGATCACCCCACTAACATTGACTCCTCCATTTTGCCCAGTTACAGTGTGTTGGGGGTACATCTCTGCAGTGCCAGATAAGTGCCAGACTGGGTTCTCTTGCTGCCCTCCTGTGTCTGTGAGCATCTCTGTCGCAGATGGCATGGTCAAGCAATGTCTGTCTATGCGTACAGCTTGACCAGCACTTGTAGTCTTTTGCAATGCACAAACGCTGAAGCCCCCGCTGGGCAAATTTGTTGTCGCAATATATGGATTTCTCAGTGCCCATCATGAAGGCATGAAAGAACCCCTTCTGCAGATCATTGGAACCTCAAAATTTAGAGCTTCCTCGGCCCCAACCTGTCCCTGATTCTCATGACAAGCCATACTGCAAGCCCCAAGGAGGTGTAACCATTTCAATAAAACCAAATACAGTAGCTACAGTCCATTGTAGCCCGCGCAATCCCCCATGGATCCGCAAACCGCTCCTGCAGGGGCCGCTCGCAGGCAAAAGGCAGAATGTATTTGCTCTTGAGCATCTCCAACTCCTGGTCCCAGGCAATGGTCCTTACCTCAAAAAGTTGTTAATCAGATGGAGTAAGGATGTTAGAGGATCCAAAGATATGTCATTTCGGGTATTTCAGAGTGTTGGGTTCCCATGGGTTCCCCTCAAAACCAGAAACGGCGCATGTTGGCCGTTCAGCTTGCTTGGTTCAGCTTGAGACGCGAGGCTGTGAACATCTTCACGGAATAGTAATCAAAGTAGAGTACAGTCAACATCAGCCAATATCTTAAATATTTGTTCATTTACCTATGCTATACATATATATAATATTATGTGTATATATATATATATATATATATATGTGTGTGTGTACAGCATTCATTTATACGTCAAGACATTTTTCCATCCTCGTGCCATCTTGCTATGCTCATCGCAGGGAGCCTGGCGGAAGCGCAGCCGTTGGTCGCTGTCCAGGTTGGCTCCCGGCACATTGCCTGAGCTGAAGGCCATGGACCATTTGGCTCGATGATTTACCGGTAGAACTCATCAAACTCCTACTAAACAATGGATAACAATGGATAACAATGGATAACAATGTATAACAATGGATAACAATGGATAACAATGGATAACAATGGATAACAATGGTGCATTTACCTGTTCTATTGCTGTAAACGGTGGTATTCCCATAGCTGACATGGGCAGCCATGGACTCCGGGGACCCCGAAATGGCCGGTCATGACTTTCAGATAAAGCATCCAGTTTAGTGGTCCAATAAGTTTGAACCACACCCAGATAGCTGGAATATATCAAGAGATATCATGTTACATTGCTGCTTATTTGGACTTCCATTGGATTTCTATTCTACATATTTCTACTGAGGCTGGAATCCCAGGAACTGTACACGGGATCCCCGGGATAGTGGACAGCAGACTTTCAGTAATCAGTCAGCCCGTGGGCAGCAGTATCCGGTAACTATAGCTATATACATATTATATGTATTATAATCTATATAATATATATATATATATTATATTATATATATTATATATATAATATATATATAATATATAATATATATATATATATTCATGTGATTATAAAAATAATAGTACGAACAAGAATAAGAATAACGAATAATACTAATAGTAATAATCATAATATTATATACTATTATGCTATATTTATATAATATCACTATATATACTATGTATGATATTCAATATATATATAACTATTATTATTATATTATGTATTATATACATATTATGTTTTATATATATATATATTATGTATTATATATAGTATTCTATATATATATTATATTTAATATAATGCACAACCGTCCCATAGTAGTTGCTGTACATCGTTTCACTTCCGTGGTGGAGGTGGAGGAAAAGAAAGCAGAAGAGCATATACATGACAGTGCGAGTCAATCCGCACGTCCCGGGACCTATGGAAACCCGGAACAGGAAGGCAGGCCAGGAGGTGTGCCAAGCAAAAAGTGTGGCGGAAAAACTGGCTGCAGATGGGGCCACCCTCAAAAGTTTCTGGCCAGCCAACAAATCAATGAAGCTGATTCAATAAGGAAACAAGGGTGACAAAGGTACGAAAATGGTTAGGGAATGGTGAATCTCAAAGCGGGCTCAAGCACTCAGAAGACGACGAAGGGGATGGAGGTCCTGGAGTAATCATGGATGTTCAACGCAAATGACTACAGGGTGGAAGGAGATGTTGCCATGGCAAGCTCTGTTCGCAGAACAGCTCTGGCTCGAAAAGTGCGGGCTGCCACACACAAATCTTGCAGAAGTGTGGCATGAAGCACCTCTCCATCAGCCCCTTCCGGGCAGCGGCAGCACTGAAATCTTGCGGAGGAAGCCTGCGGCTTGCTGCTCCAAGGCTCCCGTAGTTTCGGCCACTCACGGGAAAAATTCGACGCCTTGGGCACGGCATGCCGCAGCAGTGTCCAGATGTGCTTGTTTGACTCCCACATACGCGGATGCGGCCGCCAGACTGGTGCGCGCGGCTTCTCCTAAGGTTTCCTGCCGCAAGGGGGCTGTAACGGCCAAGTCAAGGCAGTAGGTGAACCAAGGTAAGAAGGTACGTACAGGTCTGCCGGCCGTCGCCGGGTGCTGTTGGAATCGTCAGGCTGCTGTATATAATATACAATATTATATATGATATATTATTATATATTATACATATAGAATACTATATATAATATAGATATATATATATAATATATTATATATATTATATATATTATATATATTATATATATTATATATATTATATATATTATATATATTATATATATTATATATATAATATATACTAAATATATTATAATATATATAATATATATAATATATATTATATATATTATATATATAATATATATAATATAAATAATATATAATATATATATAATATATATAATATATATAATATATATAATATATATATAATATATATAATATATATAATATATATAATATATAATATATATATAATATATATAATATATATAATATATATAATATATAATATATAATATATAATATATAATATATATATAATATATATATAATATAATATATATATATAATATAATTAATATATAATATATTTATAATATATTATATATAAATATTATATATATAATATATATTATCTATATATAATATAATATATATAATATATATAATATATAATAGATATAATATATATATATAATATATATAATATAAATAATTTATAGAATATATAGAATATATATAATATATATAATATATATAATATATATAATATATATAATATATATAATATATATAATATATAATATATATATAATATATAATATAATATTCTATATGTATCATATATAATAATATATTATATATATCATATATATTGTATATATTATATATATTATATATTATATATATTATATATATTATATATATTATATATATTATATATATATTATATATATATTATTTATCATATTATATATATATATTTTTTTATTTATTTTTTTATATTATTTATATATATATATGTTATTTATATTTATATATCTTATATATATATATTATACATATATTATATATTATATATATAATTCTTGGATCGAAATATTATCGGTAGCTGAGCTATTTGGGAATATATATATATATGTGGAAGTGGACCTGCGAAGTGATGGCTCATCAAAAGAGAAGACAACACTGCATCGAAATAAAATAGTAGAGGCCATGAAGGGCCAAGGGTTAATCTAGAACCCAGTAGGAGACCCCAAACTGTTGAGAATACCTCTTTTGGAGAAATCTCCATGCAGGGGGTGGATTTCATCTTGATAGCTTCTAATCTCTTTATGTATACATCAAGCCAGTCTAGTCTAGGAATCCTTTATCTCGGTTGAAATGGCCTTACATTCTGACGTGGGGCACCCTGAAACAGCCTCGTGGAGTAGTCAAACCGTGAGGGGCCGTGGCCGTGAGGAGTCTATCTATATTATTTGTGCTCCATTATCGCCCCAATGTCCCAATTCCTGGGGCCCCTGGCTACCAGCAGGATTGGCGCGCCGCTTCTGTCGTTCCAAAGCCTCCGCCCTCATCACACGTTCCAATCCATTTTTCGTGTCTGAGCTGGGAACGGGAGCCAGCAATTTAAGCCATTTTCATAGGGATTGAGTTTAAAATTCTAGACAATAAGTTATACATCAGGTTGAAGTATATATATATATATCAATAAATTAGTCTAATAACACACTAATTATAAACTACTGTATAGTTATAAATGAACACCCTTCGGGTCCTGCAGTGACACCATCCCCGGGACGACTTGGGTCTGCACGTCAAGCGCCGCACTTCTGCAAGCAACTCGGGGGCCTTGATCCTGATCATGTTACGCCCAAAAACGCCGAAAGTTGCTTTGGAGAAGGCTGAATAAATGGGGCCCAACCTTGAAATGGTTGTGTATATATATATATAAGAATTCAAGTTCGGCGCACTTTTCCTTCCAGTTTGCCTTGCGTAGTTGTTCAACATGTCACTCCGTTGCTCGATCAAAGTTGAGAGCTGGAGGACTGATCCATAGGTATTGTCGGCTGCTTAAGTGGGTTGGGATGAGAACAAAGGGAGGGTCAGCTTGAGCAGGAAGTCAAGGGCCATCACAGTCATGCTTGGAGATCAAGAATTCAAGTTCGGCGCACTTTTCCTTCCAGTTTGCCTTGCGTAGTTGTTCAACATGTCACTCCGTTGCTCGATCAAAGTTGAGAGCTGGAGGACTGATCCATTTCTCCCACTAGTCCCTTGTAACTTGCCGAGACAATACCTGATACCAAACATTGGCAGGAACGCTGGCCTGCCATAGTTGCTCAGCTTGTAAAGAAAACCATGGGAAAGCTTCACCAAGTGTATAAACTTTTGCTCTTGCATTGTCAGAAAGAACCGTCAGAAATTGGAAACAGGAGATCTCTTGAATGTAGATTTCCATGGTTTTTTCATTCACCCAGCGACCTCTGCGACGCGTAAAAGTAGGATCTTCACATTGCTGGATCATCCATGTGGCACCTCCAGGACGTAATGACCCCAAGTCCAAACCTTTTCCATTCAATTTTGTGTTTGGGCCAATACCCAATTCAAGCAGAATCTGGCGAAATCTCACTCGTAGAGTTTGACCTGATTTTGGCCATAACTTCTGGAATGGTTTCAGCCTGGAGAAGGCCAAATGAACAATTTTCAGCAAATCAGGAATATCCAATTTCGCGCTTTGATGCCTCGCTGCAGTAAACCTTGTCTTTGGTTCTTTCAGGGCGAGCAGGGCAAAAGAATTTGTAAAATTGGTGTCCACAGGCAGAAGCAAGTCTGAGCGAACTGCCTGTGTGAACTCACCAACACGTAGTAAAGCGCCCCATGTCAAAGCCAGCATTCCCGCCACCCCCATAGGAGGCTCACCGACAAAGCTGCCAGGAGAATTTGCCAGGGAAGGGCAATGTGATGCGTGGAAGGTTCTTCTCTTACCCACGCAAGAGCAAAATTCCACGCCTCTTGTAGTTGTCTGCGTATAGCTGGTTTCTTTGCAGCTACAACATTTATCGTTTCAGCGAAGTGGTTGTAGGGTCTACCTACTGCATAGAGGTTACGGCCATATTTAACCAGAAGCTCGTTGATCTCCTCGATATACTGAATGTGATGCTGAAGCAGATCTTCCAAAGAAAAACCAATTGAAGCCAGCCACCTTCCAAATAGCTCCAAAAAACTCGCTCGTGCTTCACTTGTTACAGCCAGAACTGGACGACCCTCTTGAAGAGGCGGGCGCTCATCCTCAGCATCTGTCGCTGGACATCACCAGCGTTTCGAGGGATCAATACTCCATGGCAACCTACCCTAAGCAAAGTCCACACTACCGCTAAAAAGAAAGGGCAACTAAAAAGGCCAGTGAAAAACCCCCGGGGCCCTTCGCCAGGAAAACCCAAAGTGGAATCGAACTGACGCCAGACATGCGGCAGACGTTCAGTAGGGAAATCCACAGCACCTGGAAAACCAAACGGAAAGGCAGGGGAGCGGTAGAGACTCCGATCAGAAAAAGACAGAGCACAAGGGCCAAGCAGACATAAGACAAGACGAACCCAGTTGGAAATCCACCGTCGAAGCTTTGGAACAGCTGCAAGTCGATACAAATCCACAGGATCCCAAAAGGAAAGACCAAGGCCATTGGATGCAGTCCTGATGTCTCTGTCTCGCGTAGGGTCATCTGCAGGGTTAAGCCTTGTAGGCGCAAAGCCAATGGAGAGGTAGATACCTCCTGCAATGCACAATTCAGCTAACCTACACAAAGCTCTTGCAAGGGCGCGTGAAGAGGAACGGCCTTTTGCAGCAGCGCATCGGACAACGTTCGAATCAACCAGGACCACGACCCGTACAGATTTTCCAGCTTTTACAAGGATACCAGCCAGCTTGACAACAACGGAAAGCTCCAACACATTCATATGGGAAGATACCTTAAAAGTCCAGACACTTACAAGGTTCCAAGCAAGGGATACACAAAGGTCATTGAGAAGCTGATTTTCAAGCCCTTGTGCATTGGGCACATCAAGGGACTCCTTGAAAGCTCTCAGGCGGCGGATCCCGATAGCCATAACCTGGGCAAGTGCACCAGACAGTGCATCCACGTATGTTGCTGAAGACTTTGTAGAGGCACCCTGAATCGGGACATGATAGTGGTCACCAGTACACCTACCAGAGATTGGGGCAATGTCTGCCCAAGCGCAAAGGAAGGCGAAAGCCTTAAGGTGGATTGATCCATAGAAACAAGAATCGCACCTAATAAGCTGGCAACCTGCATGGGCAATCAGAATCTCCCAAGCAGGCAAAAACTTGATCTTGGAACTCCATGGGTTTTCAAGCACTCCTGTGACACCATACCTCAGGCCACTGTCAAAAACCTCAAAAGACCGATGCGCCAGGATGGTGCCATCTTCCGTCTGAGGGTCACTTGGATCGAAACCAAAAGGCTGCTCCCTAGAGCGCAGGGGAGGTCTCCTCATTACTGAGAAAGTGGTGCAGGGAGGCTCAATCATGAAACTCTCAACGTAGTGGTTTTGGATGAGGTGTAAGAGCCACTCTAGGAAATGGACATGCTTCATATTGAGCTCGACATCAAATGAAATATCAATAGGGTTGCAAACTGAAAAACCCAAAGCTGCGACCTTTTGTGTAACAGTGGCTGCTCCGGCAAAAATTTCAATAAAAGCAAACCTATATGCCAGAGGTCGCGTAACCTTCTGTTCCAAGACAGGTTCAACTTCTTCAAAATCAATTGACTTGGAAAGCACGACCTGTTCCTTTGACAGAAGTTTTGAGTAACCTCCTTTTGACCTGCAGCACCTCCAGGCTACCTGCATCACACTTCGGTCCAGTGGGCTGGCAAGGATTGCTCCCTTCTCAAGCGACGCATCGGTGCAGAAAATGTCCTGACAAAAATCAGCTGCTACGTCAGCAACTGCCAATGGCGCAAGGACACTGAGCAAGACCAACTCGGTAGCAACTGCACGTGGTAGCCTAATCATCTTGGGAAGTGATGCATCAAAAACATCCATGTCGACCAGGTGAAAACTCTTTTGCAGCACTGACATGAGAGGACGTCTATACATGAGGGATGGAGGTCCAGCCCCCCAACACACACAAATGAAGAGCATCAGTGGTATGGGTCAACTGGCACAGCTGGAAACTAACCCACGCCAAAGCATACCTTTTAGCTGGAGGGGCAGAAATGAGGACATGTCCCCTGTCTTGGGCTTGGTCAGATGCGTTCACATATGCTCCGATTACCTTGGCTCGCCTTTCACCTTTGATGTCTTTGTCATCGGAACCTATAATGCCATGCTTACTATAGACGGCCTTACTAGTGCTTAAACATCCTTTGGCAGGGTCTGCGACAAGGAGGCCCCTAGGTACTTTTGCAATGGCAAAGTAATCATCAATCACAAGCCCTTCACAAAGGTCAGATCCCTGAAAAGGTCTGCTGGAAACAAGCCTGGTCTGGTGGGACAAAAGACCTACAGACTGCAAGAGACCAGTATGGGCATCAGTTGCAATGTCGACACCAGCATGATCACCCTGGAAGATGCTACTGAAGGAGGCCATACAGAAACCTTTATCACATTTTTTGAACCCCTGACGGCAAGAAAATCCAAGTCCATCGCCGCCGGCGGTTCTGCTGGGCTTCCTCCTACGCCTCTCACTCTGAAAAACTTCATAGGCTGTCGTACCAATCATCTCATCTAGCACAATGACGGGGCCTACAGAGTTTGACAGGGCACGGTTTCGACTGGTGGCAAACTGGTGGTAAAAATCCCTGCGGTCAGTGCAAATCACAGAAAGGGTTTCTTCTGATACATTCACTTGCAAGTCAAGCAGGTCAGGACCTGTGGGTAAATCCACAGATGGCCCAAGCACCCTACACTCACAGGCATTGCGTCCTCTACGGTCTCCGATTTGTCTGTCACATGTCTCGTTCTTGAGGCAATTGAAGACCCTGACAAGCTCATAGTGCCTCTCATGTTGCAAATCCACATCATGCAAATAAAGCAAACCACGCACGTCCCAAAGCTTTGCAAGTTGGACTACTTCACTGGCAGGGTCAGGAACTTGCGGATATTCATAAGGCTTTGGTATGTACTCACGCAGCAAAGAGTCAGGATAGCGATATGCCAAGGCTAACTCCGGGCCGAGGAAAGGCGTAGCATCGAAAGCACCTTCACCAACAACCTTAAGGCGGCTTGCATCCAAACTCTTGTAGGGCTCTAACTCGGCAAAAAGTGAATTGTCCATGGGCACATCATGACCAGGATAGATCTTCTCATATGGTCCAGCACCTACTCCAAGTTTTGTGATGCACTGAGAAAGCTCCCCTAACCTAGCTAAGAGCTGTGGAAAACGTCGGCCACTACCAAGCACCTCAAAATGGTCAGTAGGGCCGTCAGCCAGCAAAAGACCTGACAGCCGACGCACAATTGCACGCTGGCTTTGCGATGGGGTCCTCTCCAGAAGCTTCAGTGGTATGAAGCTGCTTCCAGCCCACCAAAAATTCAACGCCATGATAACAACATGCAAAGCCCTACGGAAATGCACCTGGCGCCTCTTTGTGGATGAAAGACCTGGAGGCATCTTTGCAAAAATCCCTTCAAAAGGAATCGGCAAAGGGAACGCTGGCGATGCCGAGACTTGGGTGTCTCGTTGCAAGTGCAAAGTGGAATTAAGGAAATGTGCAAACGGAGTCCTAGTTCTAAGGACTGAAACTGCCAAAAATGAACACCATTTATGGAAGGAGATGGTGTCCACAGCAAACTCAGGACGACTTTTATCATCCGAAGGCCCCTGGACAGGCTCTGCATTTTTAGGGTTTTTATGTTGCTTAGACCTATGAAAGTCCATCCCATCCACAACTTTACGGGGGCTACCTATATTAATTAAGGATTGGGGGGAAGGCTCAACAACTTTGTGCTTATCCTTACCCCTCGTTGGAAGAGGCCATGTTAAGCCTCCGCCGATGCTTTTGCTTTTGGCTTCCTCGGAAACCGAGGTTTCCGTTTGGGTGATGCTTCTCTGTCTGGTTCGGCATTCCCTCCTGGATCTACACTCGAGCTGCTGGGCATTGCTTTTGCAGGCTTCTTCGCCGTCTCGTTGCGTTTCGATGCAAGCACTTCCATATCCTTCAGGTATGCTAGACAGACGGCTGTCCAGTTCGGAGGAACCAGAGGACCAAAAACCTTGCTGTGCTGACCCAGGGTGGCCGAGCGTTCCTGAAACATTTGCAGGGGAGGATCTTCTAAGAGGGTAAGAAGATAGGCTAGGCTCCAAGCTCCTTTGTCCACTGCCGCCTGCTCCACCGAGACCATCATGAGGGCCATGATTTCCTTGGTTCTGCGAAGATCCCCCATTGCTGCTGCGTCTATAGCATGCCCTAAGATCCAAGCGATCAAACCTAGCTCTCTGTGCTGTCGATACCCTCCTTGCCTCTCCAAATAAGTCAAAACTGACAAATGGCATAGTTCCTCCTCTGTTTGAGGTACTGGCTTTGCAGGATGCAACCGTCGGTGAAGCTGTTGCATCATTTGGACAAAGTACATGCTCTGGCCTGTTGCTAGATCGTTCTGCATCCTTTCTCTTTTTTGAACTCCTTTTGTTGAACTCGTACAGTGACCTAAGGATGCCAAGTCTCCTAAAGCATCTGGGGCTTGGGACGCCAGGTGTGCAACAAGGGCTGTGATTGCAGTGCTTTGCTGTGCAAGTGCTGATACTATTGCCATTGGTTCCTCGGGACGAGCTTGGAGAGGGTCCAGAGGGTCGTCCATTTGCGTCAGATCTGGAGGCCCGGCCTGCGGGACATTTCTCATGGTCTTTGGCGGGGGTCCTGTGAGGGACAATGCTTTTGCAGCAATCTGGGATATTCCACTCGGATTTGGGAGGCCCGCTGAAACCGCGGGAAGCTTTTGCGATTGGGCATTCGGCAAAATGCCAGGATCCCGACCTCCAACATTTTCTGCAGAAGAGTTCTTTCATTTCTCCAAGCGATCTTGGCGTTGGGTCAGCACCTGCATTTGGGCTGCTAGGGTGCTGAGCTGTTCTGCAATCATAGAATTGGTGACACGCACTTTTGGCGTCGCCTTTTTTGGCGAAGCATGAGGAGCAGGTTTTGCAGCTGGCTCTTCCCGGTCTTCTTGAGCGGTATAAAAACCCGACCTCTCATCACTTCTGGCACTGATCCATTCCTTGACTTTGTCGAAGAGGACATTGCAATCAGGAAGCGCATTCGGATGAACATCAGAAAACCCGCCAATGGTGAGGAGGGAATCAGTCACGGGTCATACTCGCGGCAGAGTGACAGCACTTCGTCTGTCATGTCAACAACCACAACATCGCCTACGATTCCAAGCTCAATCACTGAAAGGTCATCGGCCTCTTCAAACATGGGCACTTGAAACACTGAATTAGGGCCAATCATTGCAAGCTCGTTTTCGTCTTCTTGGCCGGATTGCAAGGACTGTGGACTGAGAACATTGTCCGGAACGGCAAGGAGAAAACCTCCTCTTCGCATCTGAATTGGCAGCGCATAGACTTCAATCCCTTCTCCGGCCAATGCAATTGTGGATGGCACGGAGAAGATCAAAAGGTTTGGCTCTCCTAACGAGGCTGGCTTGATTCTGTCACGGGTCAGCATTGCTTAGAAATTGGGGGCAAAGCAATTCGTGCAGCGTAGCAAAAGATGCTGATCTCGGTTTCCGTGGCAAATCCCTGAGCTACCAAATCACCTGTTCTGACTCGATCTTTGAAGCAGTCAAAATCGTTCTCGGATGCAAACTGAACGTGGCCACCAAGACCCTGAGCTCGGAGTACGACGAAATGACAAGCTGGCTCCGACAGGCGGATGGAAAAGGTCTGGGGAGTACAAGTTTCCAATGCAATGCGGGCCCAAAAACCTGCGGCAAAGGCAATGTGAACACGCTGCACACCAATGTCGTGCGTTCGGCCACAAAAACTTGCTTGATCCTCCAAAACCTCTGGGACAGGTCCAGGGCCGTCTTCTAGGCCCCTATACGGCACCTCACCGTAAACCTCCTTGAAACCTTTTCCTTCTTCTTTTACCAACTCAAACCCCACAGAAATTGGTGCAATGGCTGGAAACTTCGCAACACTGGACTGGCTAGGCAAAGCGACCTTGGCACGGTCTGCAGGTGCCCCCTCCGATAACCACGAGGCTGAGAAGTGGAGGCTGAGGCTTGTTCTCGCTCTTTGGGCTCCTTCTCGGACAGCCACTTTTCAAGACCCTCTAGCTTTTCTATGATTGTCCTTACCTCAGCGGCGGACAGAGGGCAATCACTCATTCACGTAATGAGACAGACGTGACCTGGCTGCAATCCTGGCTGATTCACGGCAAGGAAAAGAAGAGGCCCGGGCAAAGTCCAAACGGAAAATCCACCAAAAGGCCAAAAATCCAAAGAACGCCACAGCAGAGGCAAATCCAAGGCACCAACCGGCCAACAACCAGGGCAGACAGGACGGGGCACAATGGATCGGACAAGCAGACCACCTGGAGATTTCACTGGCCAGGCTAAACCAACCCCACAAGTTATCAACCACAGGTAACATTCAGCTTGAGCAGGAAGTCAAGGGCCATCACAGTCATGCTTGGAGATCATATATATTTATGCTGATGTCGGAATATCACTTGCGCCATCCTTCCAAGCCCGCCCTGCACTTTCTGGCTGTAAATGACAAAGCAACAGCTTAAAAATGGCTGCGCACATTAGCGCCGTCACCAGGAATCCTTTACTTGCGCAATATTCCAGCAAAATCAACTCCATAATGTCCAGGATTTCCCATGAACCCTCATTCAGTACTTTCACACCAAGGCTTGAATTTTCAGATTTTGACTTCAAACTGTCAGCTACAGCATTCGCGACCACGCCAGTACCATGCTGTTCCAAGCTGACGCAACAAGTTGATGCACCCAGGCAGTCGTTTCTTTATGCATTCCAATTATAGGACAGACAGGTGTTGTGAAATGTGCATCACGCAGTGCAGAAAGCATCGACGGGCGGTCCTCTCTTCATCTGGAAACATTTTCTCCATGTCCACCGGAAAAATGGTCCGCCTCAGGCAAAACCCATGTGGCAGCTCAAATGAGCGGAGTGACAGGCTGTGCGGCCTGGTTTTGCAGACATATGTATATAATATATACATACATACATCTGCGCTACATAATATACATATATACAATATGATTTATATATTATGTCCATATGTATATATATATAATTATATATATATCATAATGAAAAGTCAGGAAGGCCGCTGAGTTCAAGTTTGCTACCTTCAAACCCCAAAGTGAAAGCTCACTTTGAAGCATTGAGACACATCACAGAGTTTCTACACTCCTCTTATTGGCCCTACAGCATTGCTTTCAGTTCTGATCCGTATCACGTCATGACCTAGCTGGCTTCACCCCCTTCCCATTTCCAGTTCCTGCCTTTATAGAGTTTTTGAAGAGAAAAACTAGAGGTTTTAAATCGGTTTAACCAGTTTAACCAGTTCACCCCCATATGATCCCATACATCAATAGTAATCCGCCAGGCTTTCAACTTCAACTATAGATCTTCCCACCCAAAAAGACACCGCTCCCCCATTTGCCCAGTGGCCCGGGGACGTTGGGCGGCTGCACGGGGATATCATCCGCTTCCCCATAGAGGTGGCTGATAATCCCTGGGCCGTGGCTATGGAAGGTATGTCACCTACAAAAATGTGCACTTTAGCTTCCAGCAATCGAACGTGGCTGGGAAAGCCTGCATGAATGGAGGTTAATTAAAATGCGAAAATCATCTATAAATGTGGGATCTTCAATTGCCACGTTTGACTACTGGAGGGTACCCAGCAGAAATGGTGATATCGTCCACTATAAGTATGGTCAATTGCCACAGCTCCGAGATGGCTTCAGTGGGCTAAACATCCATCACTGAAAGGACGCTTTTTGTCACGAACAAATCCAAAGTTGTACCCCAAACGTGCGATGGTTTACCACCATGTTTCCCCCTGGCGATCAACCCCCCACTTTTTCGCGGAAAATAATTAATGTGTAAATTGAGCAGCGTCAAAGACCTATGGGAAAGTCGCCCAAGTAATGGTTATGATGATCTCCAATATATTGGGTAGTATGATTCCGCATGATTATCAACCAAATCAGGTTTTGAGACTTTCCAAAGCATCAAAACAGCAATGTTAGATTGTGGGGAAAAAAATAACTCCAATCCCTCTCTAGACAAATAAAATACATGTACGGTACGTGCAAAATTAGCTCTTTTCCTCATCCTTCTGGTTCATTTCTGCATCGTATCTATGACCCTGTATGCACCTAGTTGTTGATTGCCAAATTCCCAAAATGACACTCTATCACAGTGCTGTTGAATGATAGCATCATATCCCAGTTACATCCCTCCCTATAAAATACCCTGGTGAACTTCATTGGAGCTATTCACTTTTTGGGGGACCGGGACCAAAATCCAGGAGGCTATTTGATATGATCAAGGTGGGGGATGGAAATCCAATCAGTCCCTTCCCCAGACCCTCGAACCAATAGCCCCAAAGGAACCTTGGCTTAGTACTGGATCTATTCCCTTGGGGTGCCTGGGGAGTATGCAATTTAATATCTAATATCTGATATGGGATTATTCGATATTCAATTAATCCAATATTAGGTTTAAGAATATATCTAACATTACGCACAGACCCCGTGGTTTGCCCGGACTGCAACATTAAGGATATACGCAGTGTTTTCTGCTTTCGGATTCAGAGTTTTCAGGGTTTTAGGGTTTAGGGTTTTAGGGTTTTGGGTTTTAGGGTTTTGGGTTCGTCGTCTGGTAAATACCAAAACACTGGCCCTGCGCATATTTTTGAGCATGTCGAAGGATAATATTTGAACTCCATTCTAACCTTTCGGGCCAACCATAGGGTCTTGCCGTAACATTAGGTAACATGGGATTATCAATATCTAACATCTCATGCTTGCTAGGTTGTTTCGGAGCCCAGCCGGTATCAGCCGGGTCGCCTTTGTCAAGCGCTCGACTGTCACCATCATCGGCACCTACTCCTGGAACCACAAGAGGTGCTTGGAAGATCACCCCAGAACTGTTTAGCAACTGGGTTTTCTTAGCCATTTATAAATGGGATAGCCATGGATAGCGGGACCAAACCAGGTACCACTCACCACTAAGATGATTCTCCAAGTCACGGCCATCAGTCCCAAAAAATCCAAGATGGCCCAAAGTGGAATATTGACCAACTACAGAAGAGGTCGGACCAAGCATGGGGTTAAAAACAGCCACCCAACCAAAATTGCCCTGGTAGATATTTAGCCAGCGGTCTCGCAACTTTAATACGTTGAGGCTAGCCAATCTGATTCTTACAAGCAGAGATTCCCTTTAAAACTCTGTGGCAGGGTCATCTATTGAACACAAGCCATGGTCTGACCTCAAATCTATTTTTTTGTGTAATCAGCTTCACATGTTTCATCATCAACTTCATCAGTGAGATCAGTCAAAGCCCGGAATATCTGAAGAACGATTGTCAAAGATTGTAACATGTTTAATTGATATGTAAGTTTCCAAAAATGGGAGTACCCCTAAATCATCCATTTTAATCGGAATATCCTTCAAAAAAAACATCCAGCTATTAGAGTAGCCTCATTTCAGGAAACCCCCAGGGCATCGGCTTGGTTTGATGATGATCTCATGGGAAGGTTAAAAAAAAAAACGACATTCGATTTCAGGGGATTCGAATGAACTTTTTCCCCGTCAATTCCGGAAAAGTTGTTAACTTCCAGAGTTGTTGTTACTTAAATTTCATCATAAATTGATTATATAAAAATATATAAATCATTATAAATCCCTAAACAAAACATTTTGGCTAGTAAGTCCTCAAAGTCAATTCCGGAAAAGTTGTTAACTTCCAGAGTTGTTGTTACTTAAATTTCATCATAAATTGATTATATAAAAATATATAAATCCCTAAACAAAACATTTTGGCTAGTAAGTCCTCAAAGTCAATTCCGGGAAAGTTATTAACTTCCAGAGTTGTTGTTACTTAAATTTCATCTTAAATTGATTATATAAAAATATATAAATCCCTAAACTAAACAATCCGCAATTTTGGCTAGTAAGTCCTCAAAAAGATGATTGGTCTCTGGCCTGTTGACTGTGACATCGCACCTCGATGTCGCAAAGGGGGCGCGATTCGAAGAGCCGAGGCGAAACCGGAGGTATCATCCGCCTGAGCCAATCACTGCAACTGTTTGAACGGGAAAAAACATGTGATAAACTGACAATCCCCACTTGGACGCTCCAATTTATCACCCAGTTGATGCCTAACGAAACTGTACCTGAAAAACAATGACCATTCCCATCAACAATCTCAGAGCGTGCCAATGACCGTCACATCCTTCATTGATTTCATTGGGGCCTCAACAGAATAGAGATTGAGACACCACTTCCCAAAACTCATCCCACACGAATGGTCATACAAAGATCCCACACGAATTTGTCCCAGTTCATCACGTTGCATTTTGGCGTGTCCTACTTGGATGAACATCCCACAGATAGCAAACTCTTCAGAAACCACCAACTTAGAATTTCTAGCTTGGTGATAAGCACAGATACCACTGGTTTGGTGACTGGGACGCCGCGAAGCCGCGAATGCCGGGAGCCCCACCCAGACACCATGGACTTCGCAGTCGTCCAAGGGTTTGAATTTCATCATCTGCGCCTTCGCAACGAGCGGATCAAGTGACACCACATGATGGGTGGAAAATCCTTTCCGCACCTTATTGGCCGCAGTGGGAGCCACGCCCAACTGGAAGAGATAGCGATTGAAATATTCATCCTGGCTGAAATGGGATGGATGCAAAAATGACCTCCCAAGATTGATAACCACTGTGGAACCGATTCAATACATGGCACGATGATAAAGGTCAGGGTGATATCAACATTAATATATGACACTAAAAATGGTGATGATGATCATTATAATGATAATTAGAATGATAACTATAATGTTTTGTAGTAATCGTGTACTGCAGTAAGACTAATTGTTGTTATCATCATTATATATAATTATGTATAATCATCATTATAATGACATCATCAATCATACAGGTCCTGGGGTGTTCATTTTTCTAAGTCACCCCAGTTGAAGAGGGTTTTTTAGATTTTATATCATGTAACCTTCCAATCCAAGTTTGGCAAACCTACAAAACCTCCAGTTTTTCCTTTTATAAAGTTTGATTCTCCCAGGAATCATTGTTGGATTTTCCAAATGGGTATGGATCAATACCTATGAAAATACCATTTTGGATGGGGGTTATTCACATCCATTTTAACCCAGCAAGTTTTGATGTTCACCAGGGGTACAAGGTTTTGACACACTGCCAAATCGCCGGGTCCTGGACCGCTCTCAGAATATCATCCTGGTCGGAGATGAAAAATGGCGATGTATGGTGATATACCGTAATAGATGGCAAACTATGGTTAATGGATGTTAATGGATGTTAATGGATGTTAATGGATGTTAATGGATGTTAATGGATGTTAATGGATGTTAATGGATGTTAATGGATGTTAATGGATGTTAATGGATGTTAATGGATGTTAATGGATGTTAATGGATGTTAATGGATGGATGTTAATGGATGTTAATGGATGAAATTAATGCGGTTCAATGTTCAAATGTTCTTTGAATATGTTTTCACCTGAATTCACCGGTGGCAACCTCAGAGTTTTGTCCATGGCAAAAATTGCGACAATCTGTAATGAACAAAATTAGGGGTCAATCATCAGTCCTTTTTTTTTGCAACATCAATCTCAAACCCAAGAATCATTTTTCTCAAATTCGCAATGCTGGTTTCTTGGGGAAATTTGTAGGCAAGTGTGGGACCGGGTCCTGGCTATGCGCAGCCAAATTTGCACCTTCCTTCAGCTGAATCACCACCTGGAAAAGAACCGGGGAATGGCAAGGAAAATTCAAATCGGAGTTGAACAAAACCAGAGGTCCGTAATTCCCCATATCCAAGACGTGTGAAATTGGGATAATGTTCTATCAATTGTTCAAGGGAAAAAAAATTTACGGGGTTCTATTGTGAAGGTGCTGACCAAACAAAGTTGAACAGTGGTTTTCATCGCACAGTAACTACACAACCCACGCCTCCATTGCATCAAGCACAATTCAGCAGCTGCATGTTGAAGAGATGAAAAGAAAACAATTAAATGTGTTTTTGTTTGCTCGTATTTACTCATTTTTTCCACATGTGGAATCGAAAATGGTGCAAAATCGACCCTGGACAAATGGCAACAAATCCCCTAATATGTGCGTTCAAAGTCCTACACCCAACATTGATCATAACCGTGATATGATGATATTTCATCAAAACCACTCGGGCAGCGCATGATCATTTACTGGGTGGTCTGGGGCGCCGCCGGTAGATGTTGTGACTGTGACATGCAAGTTTGTAACGGTATGTAACGGTACCGGTAACGGTTTTTCAACGACAATAACCCATTGTTTCAAAACATCCCTCACACGTTCCACATAACATGTCATGAACGGCACTACCGAGACTCAAAAATTTCCGTCATTGCATGCACGCCACACCAAGCGATTTGACACGGGGCATCTTGTTTTTTTTGTTGGGGAAAATCATGAAACACGTGGTTGATTTTCCAGCAGGGCGTGTCCACACAATCCAACAGACATAGTCGGAACCAAAGAACGCAGTTGGAACCACAGAATGGTATGTCAGTTGGGAAATGGGTATGGGTCAAAATTAGGTACCCCAACAATTGGATGGTTAATACTAAACTAGACTAATATCTGTGGTCCCCTAGGTCTTCCATTTTGACCCACACCCAAATTTTAACCGCATGTTTGTTCTCCCTGACCGTCGGGGTGCGGCACATGGGTGCATCACAGCCTCTGCACTGCCATTTTTCCTTCAGCGGGTCTTCCCACACCTTCTCATTTTCAGGGAAAAATATGTTCCATTGAATTTACCTGAAGGAAATGTATCAAACACACATCATCTCAGTTTTTGTTTTGTCGCACAGTGTCCCTGCTTGTGTGTGGAAAAGTTTGTGTGGATACTGGATATGAATATGTGCGTGTAAAAACCCTTGCGTGCAAGAGTTTCTGTGTGATTTTTTTTCTGCGGGAAAAGCATCTGTGTGCAAACTGGGGTGTGGGTAGAATCAAGAGTTGAGAAGAGGTTCACTCTGGATTTGAGCCTTCCCCTGGGTTTGGCTGACCCAAGTTTTTCTTTTTGGATTCACACTGAAGTTGAGAGTGTCAATGTGGAACGGAGAAACTGAAAAGTATTGATTGTAAATTTGATTCAGTTCTGGTAAGAACCAATCAGAAACGGTCTCAAATCTGGAGCCGCGCCTTTTTTTCTATCGCTATATTTTAATCCGTTTGGGTTCCACCTTCACATCTTTCTGGCCTTCAGCCAGTGGAGCCGTTGCTTCAAAGTGATTGTTGCCAATGTGGCATGTCACATTTTTTTTCTCCAAATTTCTTGGGCAAAAGTAGGGGGTGGAGTGAAACAACGTTCTGATTCACCTTCGTATAATCAGAGAGAACACGAATGCATGTCAGCAACAGACATGCTGCAGCTTGAAGCGTCAGTTCATCGCCCCAAGTCGACGGCCTGCTCATGTTTTGCAGGTAGGCTTCAAAGCTGGCGAACTTGGCATTGATTTTTTCGGTAAATAGGTGCGGCAAGTGGCGGAGATAATTCACACACTGGGACTGGAAGTCAGCTGGATCCACCGGAATACCTGCAGTGAAACAAACACTAAGAAACTGACAGGAACCGTCAGCTACTGTCTCGCACGCTTCCAACCCGAGTTGTAGCAAACGAGGCTTTTGCGGAGTGCAAAGGCAACTAATGGGCCCACACGAAAAAACTAAAGCAGCGGGGCAATTTTTTTCTGGCGCTAAGATGTCTGGTCCAGACTGCGGTGAGAATGCGCATGTGCAAAAGAAACATGCAACTGCTACACCAAGCTAGTCTCTACCTACCTTTGTCTTTCACATCGGAAGGGAAACGTGTTGGTGTGTTGTGCAAATTATGGTCTGGCGCTGCCGGTCCCAGGGCGCGGCCCTTGATCTTTTCTTTGCGGCGCTGCCGCTGCCCCTGGCGCAGCTTGCGTTAAGCCATCGGCGTGCTGTCGATGAGTGGGGACCCAAAACAACATATACGCTCCAGTAGCAAATCCAGCATAGTCTGGCGCTCCGTCGGAAGCTGACCTGTTGTATTCAAATGGTCATAGAGGCTCTTTGCATCGGTCACGCCTCCATCAAGACCCATTGACAAGCGCCAATCCTCATCCAAGGGTCTGTTGCCGTGGAGCAAACGATCCAAAACCAAGCGCCCGTACAAGTGACGGTCAACACAGATGGACATGCTGCAGCTCTCGGCAGACATTGAACTCCTCAGAACTCGAGAGCTCTTATTGGTGGAGAATTCCACCACCGGTGCCAATGCTGGTCCTGACCGTGCTTTCTCTGTTGTGAGAAAGTGACTTGATCCAAGCTGAGATTTTCCGTCGTCTTCTTTTCCAACCGAGGCATCGAAGAAGCTAATGTAGAATCGTTTCTCCTTCTCTTTCAGCTTGGGATAGGTCAATTGGGCGCGGCCCTGGGAAGCTTCCTCCACAAACTTTTGATGAAGCGTCACAGCTTCCTTATAGTCACTGTGTTGAGCGCGGCTCACACGCTGTGCTAGGGCTGAAATCTCATACAGCATGTGTGGCATGGCCTGTTGGGCCGGCCACCGAAGACGCATGACGAGCTGACGATAGAGCGTCACCTCCCTTGGATTAAGTGGTCCAGAGCCACTCAAAGGTTCCACCTTGATCTGTTTGATGTACTGCATCATGTCGTCGTGAATACCATTTGAATCCGCGTCCACGCCCAAGAATTGAACTGGTTCTTTGGCAGATAAGGTCTTCCAGGCCTTGATCTTGAACATTCCATCAATCTGCCGCTTGAGATTCTGGACACGCTTGTCCTGTAAATCACGAGAAGCAGTCCGTCATCCACGTGGAGACATACTGTAGGATACGTAGCATATGTGGCGCTGCCACCGCTTCCACCACCTGCAACGAAGGTAGCTGATGTCAAGGAGTGGTCTGAATGGATCAAAAATGGAATGATTGAGAGGGTCAGCCCTGCTCTTCTTGGCCTTCTCCTCCGGAGACGCCTTAGGTTCTCTCGCAGACTGGAAGATCGATTGACTTCTGACTGGAGGTGGCACTGCTGGCTCTGGTGGTTTTCATGACCACATGGGTTTGATGGCCCATACGTTCCGGTTCTCTGCCCGGACAGGAGGCGCGGACCCGCTTTCAGTGCTTTCTTGCTCCAGGTCCTCGTCATCCGTCTTGTCTTCGTAGTGCTCTTCATAGTCCCCTTCGAGGTCTTCTTCATAGACCACATGAGCATGGCGAGTGGCACGATACGGGGCTCGACGAGACCTCTTGTAGGTTCTCCTCGGCGGCGGCCGAGCAACCTGTTTGATGGCCAGGAATTTTCTCTGGAGATCTGCAAAAGCAAAGCTGGTAGTGGTCAGCGTATTGGGCTCTCACAAGTTACCTACCCCGCTAGTTGGACAAGCTGCCACACAGTGGCACCTTTTTCCTTCCTTGAATGCACGGTTGTGCAAAAAGGGGCTGCGGTCATGAGCTGTTGTCATGCCATGCCGTCTCTACCTAGTGAACTGCCTAGCTATCAACAGTAGCTACCTAATTCCTAGGTTTTACCCTTTGCAGTTTGCCACCCTCCTTAGAGTGGCATGGCTCACTGCCGGGTTCTTGGTGAGACGTATAGCTACGTACCTCTCCTGGCTAGCTGTGGCCAGAGAAAGGGCTGCCGCCACTGGAGCTGCCGCCTTCGATCCCCAGAACTCTGTTCTCGGCCTCGCGCCACTGCTGGAGCTCATTTGGACTCATCCCATCAAAGGGATCTAGCGGAGCTTCCCGCTCAATGGCGGGGTCTCCCGTCAAAAGCTCCGGGCCGGAACTGGAGATCGGCGGCTCCGCCCGCTCGGGCGGTGCTACCCGCTCAGGCGGTTCCTCCCGCTCAGGCGGTACATCCCGCTCAGAGGCGGGGCTGTCCGCACTGTGCGAAGTTGACTCACCTGGTTCATCTTGGCTGGAGTCTGGGTCTTGCCCATGAATCAGCCTTTCTTCGCGCCTGCGCCATTCGATCAGCTCCTGGAGGGTCATGTTGCTTTCTGCCCCTCTCTGCACCCACTGTTCCTCTGACCAGCGCTCGATGCGACTAGGAGTTAGTTCCTCCTGCCGCGGGGTTTCCGCCGGTTGAGGCTGCGGGGCTTCCGCGGAACCTAGCCGCGGGGCTTCCGCTGGCGCATTCACCGTCTGGCTGATGTTCAGCGGTCTACCGTCTCGGTAGGCGGTGATGTTGAGGCGCACCGTAGCGCTATCCAGCTGAAGTTGCACTTCGGCTCCTTCAACTTGAACCGGTTGTTCGGGAAGTTGATTTTCGCCTTCAGGCGGGAAAAGCCAGTCTGTGATCAGCACTCCTAGCTGATACAGCTTCACATAGATGGCTAACAAGCCTACGAGCGCGAGGATGTACAGGACAATTGGATTAATCCACTGATTTCCTTGTCTCTGCGCTCGCACTGCGGTGATCTGGCTGAGAATCACCAACGACTTGATGTAGTTCACACTGCCCTTTGTTTTCGGGGCGGTGCTACCCGCTCGGTCCTTTCTGTTATCGATCCAAGCAACGCTTGCTGGGACCGGAGTCTTCCAAGCATGCTGCTTGGTCACAGTCGAGACCTTGACGGAGATACGCTTTGTGGATGATAGCACATCCTCTCCGTCGTGAGCTTCGCACATACCCAATCCAGGTAGGGCTTGCTTTACCTCTGTCCCTGACTTGGGATGTTTCGTCAGAAAGTTTGCACAGTTGAGCGTTCCTTTCACCTTTCCCAAAGCGAGCTGCTTTGACTGGATCGCTCCTTGCACGTAAAACTCACAGACTTCCAGGTGCCTCAACTTGGCTCCTGGACCTATGCGTTTCGCTGCCTGCATGGCCGACGAGCTGTCGGTCCATAGGCGGGGCTTCCCGCCCAGTTGGCCAAAATCTAAGGTGATGAGATCGCGCAAGTAGATTGCTTCTCTGGCTGCTCTGGATACACCTCTTAGTTCCGCATCTGGGCTGCTAGTAGCTGGCAGTCCGGGTTGCGTCTGGGTTGTGCAAGCAACCACAGCTCCACAGACTACTGCCACATGACAGTCGGTGCTCCTTCGGCTCTCGAGGCACCCTGCCCAGTCTGAGTCGGAATACAACTCTATGCTCCATTCGCCAGTCGCACTTGGCGGATCACATGTTACCACCCTGCCAACCGTGGGGTGAGTTTGCAGGTATGCTGCAAGTGTCTTCACAGCTTTCATGTCACACTGCCTTGGCTGCGACATGTGTCTCGCTGCTTCCTTCACAGCATATTGTATATCTCTGCGATCCAAACTCAGGTAGATCGCGGATCCTACTGCGCTGCGATAGCGTTTTGCTTCTTCTTCGGACAGGGGAGTGGTTTCCAGAAGATTCAATTGTTTGGAAGGAACCTCACTCCTGTCACGCGCGGAGATACCCGCTGCGGAGATCACGGCTTGCCTGTGCTTTTCGTCTGGGATAGTGAGGATTGCATCTTCACTGCGCACTTTGGTGCGTCCCAGGTATTCCACTGCCGTTCCCTCCTTTTCGAGTTCTCCCGCTTGCACTTCGCAGTGTCGCGGTAGTTCTTGTTCGAAGAGATGCGCTAGGGCCTCTGAAGGTCCTGCTGCGCGGATGTCGTCCACATGGTGCAGCAGTACAATGCCAGTCTTGGTGCACCGGAAAATGCACGGATCTTTCTGACCCCTGACAAAAGCATACCGCTGCGGGTCTACCCGCGAGCACACTATCTCTTCTAGCTCATTTCTATACACAGATCCGGCCGTTCTTCGACCGTAGAAATTTCCATCCAGCCGGAAACACATTTCCTTGAACCGATCCTTGTACCACTGCCGATCCGCCGGGTTGACTTCTTCGAGCCATTCGAGGAAGAGATCCCACCATTCGATGGGTGCTCGGACATAGACCGGTTTACCTTGTGCTGCGCCCCGGTCCCTTCCTATGAGGAAGGCTGCAACTATGTCTAAGCTCCTCGTGTAGAACTTGTTCATGAGGGCATATACTTCTAAGACATTGTGAGACTCAGGAGTTGGAGTTGGCACGAAAACATCCAGCTCAGCCTCTTGCTCTTGGGTGTATCGCGCCTTGACGTCTGCGCATGTGAAGCGCGACTTGTAAGTCCCTCGTGAACACTTGTCTACCCATTTGTGACCAAAAAGCTGCGATCCCTGGGGTATGTCTTTTCTGTGGATGGGAGTGAACGCTCCTCGCTCCCACAGCTTTCGCAGTTGTGCCTTTCGGGCTTTGGATACCTCCTCAGGGTCGAGCATCTGATCGACGAATTCTGTCACATTTGAAATTCGCTGGATCGCTGTTGGGTTGTTCGGTTCTTCTGAGTTTCCCCATTGCTGGATTTTGTCCCAAATCTCTTTGGTTGTCAAGTGCTGCAAGATCCCTGCTTGCCGGGGCTGCTTTGCATCAGCTTCGCCGGTCTTCAGTTCTCCCGGATTAGTCCTCTCTCGTTTCCCTCCTGCCCCCAATCCAGATGGACTCATGGGTTCATTGGGAAGACTTTGCAAGTTTGAGGACCATCCCGCTCCCCGAAAGGGCGGTGGAGACCCGCTCGGCCCGTGCTCGGGCGGCGGAGGATCTGCAATCTCGGATTCCGCTGGCGTTGTTGGAACGGGACTGACGTCTGCGGGGCCACCCGCTAGATCTGGAAATTCCTCCGCATCCTGCATCGGTTCCAGCTCTTCCTCTAGCTGTGCCGCGGCTTGTACCACGAGGGCGTCGTGGTCGACGTTGTGTCCGTCCACTGCCAGCGTCGGATGCTCCCGATCTGCTGCTTCTTCTCGCTCGGGGCTACCCGATGCGGCTGGTGCTGGAAAAGCGATTGGCTGAGACAACTCACGAGTGATCTTATGCCTCACACCATCTCTCGGCTGCCAAGGGGTTCCCTTCATGGCTGCCATCAGCTCTGAGCTGATCTGTCCCTCCTTGGGCAGTCGCCTTATGGACCGCACAGCGATTGCACCTGACGCTGTGCCGAGCACATTGCTGTCGTCCCTGTCCAGCTTTCCAAGCCACACTCCTTTGATCCATCGGCGTTGGATCTTGCCTTTGGGGCTCGGCACCTTGCCAAGCACTATTTCTCCCAATGTGGCTACAGGATGGTTGTAGTCACCTCCTGTGACCAGCTTGTATGGCGTCATGCCATCTCTGCTACGTGTGTGGTATCTGGCTATGAGCCACGCCGCGTGGCGCACAAGCCATGGCGTGAGGTTGCTGCTCACGTCCAGCTCAGGATACCTCTGCCTGACATCTAACCACAGAGTCCGGATTTGCGAAGCTGCGAATCCGTTCATCGACTCCACAGTTCCTTGGCTCTGGTGTTGCTTCGGCGGAGCTTCCCGCACAGAGACCTTGGATGCACCCACATGGCGTTGGATGCTGTTTGCCAGGGCTCTTATGGCGGGCTCGCCATCGTGCTGGAGGATGATCTTGTCATACCTCAAGTTCTTGAAGTAGAGGTCGATGTTCTGCAGGCAGTATTTTGACTGAGCCACCTCCACAGACTTGTTGGGGAGTTGAAGTGTCAATGGCCATCCGGTGCCGGTATCGGTCAAACACAAGATGGTCACAAGACGAGATTCGTCTTCTACCTCTTCTTCCCGTTCTGGAGACAGAAAGAAGTAATCCATTTGGACCACCGAGATACCCTGATCTCGTTCTGTCGACTGGTCTCGCTTGTGTTGGTCTTGGCGGGATTTCCCGCTCACACACTCCTCGCACCATGGTGCGAATGGAAGGTGAGTTAACCGATGTTGTTGTCGCTGTTCTTCCGTGGGGCTTTCCGGCTGAGGTAGCCCTCTTGGTTCAGGCGGCTCCGGCTCGTCTGCCGCTTCCTCCAAGTCGGCCAGCAGGCCGGGATCTTCCGCCTGCATAGCGGCGTCCGCTTCTTGCTGGGCGAACTCTCGCACAGCGTCGGCTTCCTCATCTTCCTGGAGTGCATGGCGGTGAACTGCCATTGCTTCTTCATCTCCGGGGTTGATGGCTGCGACCTTTACCTGGCCCTTTCCGCCATCCAGCTCTTCGTAGGGCAACAGGAACTGTCTCCCTTCTCGCCGGAACGTGGCGATACTGCCATCTGCCCATTGGATGTAGCAGTTGTCAGTTTCGAAGTGGACGCTGGCTCCAACGTCCAGGGCTCGATTGACTGACAGGATGTTCTCATTCACATCTTCGACCACCTGAAAAGTGACCTGTGCCTCTTCCTGAAGCTGCTCTCCGAGTCGCAACTTGGGGCGGATCTCCCCGCACGCCTTCAGCGGTGTGTCATCTACTGTGTAGAGCTCCTCTGTGGCGCTTGGGTCGAGGTCTGCTGTCTGAAACGCTTCAGGGGTGCAGACCGAACAGCATGCTCCAGTGTCCACCAATAGCGTGCCTCTGCTCGCTACCCTGGCTATCTTGGGCGTGCTTCTCTGGAAAGCATGCAATGCCCATACTTTGCTTCCCGCAAATGCCTTATGTGGGTTTTGAAGAAGCTTCCATTTCCTTCCAAGCTCCCTGGTTTCCCATGCATCGGCGGCATAGTCCCATTGCCAGGTGGACCTCAGAGTGAAATCTGAGTATTGAGGCCCGGGTGTGACATACCTCCTTTGGGTGCCAGCTTTCCCCCGTACCACGTACACCTTGGTGTCCGTGTCAAGGTCATGCCAGCCTGGTTTGTCTTTGCAGTCCGAAATGGCCTGCCACTTGGCCAAAATGGCCTGTTCTGCCAAAATGGCATTTTGCTGGTGTTGGCTGACTCCTGTACTGCCCGCCGTTTGGGTTGCCAAAATGGCTTGAGGTGAAACTGATTCCACGCGGTGCTGCCCGCTGTGGCCGGGCTTTACCATGAGAAGTCGGTGTTCCCCGATCTTACTGACGCTCTTGTCTTTTCTGTACGACGTCGAAGACGAGGAAGGAAGGGTGATGACGCTATTGTTGCCCCCAACCTGCGATGCCGAGGGACCAGCCGAGACAATGGAGGCGTTGTCACCTTCATTCACGGCTGCTACTGCCTTCTTACCCTTTCCCTTTTCCTGACCTTTTGTGTTGAACCAACACTTCTCAGTGGTATGGCCGGCCTTCCAGCAGATTGCACAGCGATCTTTGCTGTCTTGACCTTTTCCACCCTTGTCTTTCGAGTGGGTGTCTTTCCCTTTTCCTTTCTGATCCTTCCCTTTGCCCTTCTTGCCCTCCTTTCCTTTGCCACCTTTGTCCTTACCTTTTCCCTTGTATTGGACGAGTCCAATCTCCATGGGATCACTGCGTGCGGTGCTACCCGCATACGCGGCCGATGGCTTCCATACCTGCTTGGCTTGCAAGTATGACACCACCACTTCGCGCACAGCTTGGTAAGTGCTCAGCGTGGCTATGTGCATGGAAAGGTGCTGTTTCAGGGCATTTGGAGCTTCGGTCAGAACTACGGCACGTTTATCTTCATCACTTATTGCTTTCTGTGCGCCGTATTCGGCTTCGTACCTGTCTAAGTCGGCCTCCCACTCTTGGAGCGCCGCAGAAAATTCCGTCTCTTTTGAGGGAAATTTTGGGCTAAGCAGCGAGCGTCTCCAGATCAAACTCTTCGAGTGGTTATCTGGGGCTAACTCTCGGTACAGAAGCCTCCAAAACTCAAAACCGTTCTGTTCTCGAATTCCACGGGCTATCTTCACAGCTACTGCTAACTCCTGGGTCCAGGAAGTCAGCATGGCAAAAAGCTGTCTGCCACGTGCCTTGCAGTCATCAGTCATATCCACAGGGTCCACAAACGTGGTGCTTTTGCGTGCTTCTTCCAAGTCTGTGGGAAACTCTTCATTGATCAGTGCCAGATAGGTTTCCACCTGAAAGGTGAAGCGTTCCCACTGCTCCCTGTCCTTTAAGGACTGAGGCTGTTTCACAGACTTGAGCACGTCTATATGACTGACAGGTTTACTGGTGCCGGCGGAGCTCCCCGCGCTCGGCTGGGGAACTGCGCCTGCTGCGCCTCCGTTCTGCAAGGATTGCTGCAATTGTCCCAACGCGACGTTGAGGCGTTGTTCCAGCTGCTCTTTCTCGAGCTGCAGCTGCGCATTCACCTGTTGTTGGGTCTGCTGAGCGGTAGTCAAGGCCTGAACCTGACTCGCTAGAGCCTCCATCTGCAGTTGGATCTGCGCGGCTTGCTGCTCCATCTTCTTCTCTGCAGTTTGGTGGTCTCTCGTCTACCACCTCGTAGTGTTCAGTCTGGCTTTGGCTCAAAGCCCCTTGTATTTGTTCACACAAGTCAAGAGCTTTATTGAACTCTTGCTTGACTGTTGGAGTGAGCTGGCTCGCACGCGCGGGGACTTCCGCTGCGTACAGCGGAGGTGCGGCCAACTTCTGCAGCGGCTCCTTGGAGCTGCTTGCTGACTCCACGTGTGGCTGTGGGATGTCAGCTGGATCCTTGCCCTGAAATACAGGGTCTGGAACGCAGATCTCAAAGCTCTCTACACTTGAGATGTCAGCTTCCCAGTCAACCACTTCTATGCCTGCGTCTTGCAGGATTTCTATTGAGAGGCTTGGGGCTTCAGACGAATCAATCGCCTGCTTGGCTTCGTCCAAGTCCTTCTGAAGTCGGGCTCTTTTCCTTGCAGCCCTTGAGCTGGCCCTATCAGCTTGTGGGACCAACTTCACCGGTGCGCGCTCGTCTGCTTCGAGTGCAGCGCGTCCCGGATGCGGATCTACCCGCACTTCCCTCTTGGCCTCTTCCACCCTTAGGTTGGTCTGAGGCACGTCGGGTGCGTCGGGCGTTGACCCGATGTCCAGCGCCGAAGATGGCACTGACCCCGGCTCTGGTGCCGGTGGGTCTGGCTCAGCCGAAGGATCGGCTGGTGGATCGGCCGATGGGTCGGCCGGTGTTGGCTCAGCAGGTGGCGCGTCCGTGGACTGGCCTGGCCCTGCTGTTGTTGCTGCGTCTGCCGCGTCCCGTGCGGCTCTTCGCTCTTGACCCCTTTGGATCCTGGCCTCTGTCCTGGCCACTGAGCGATGTCCTCGCCGATTCCTTTCTTGGGTGAATCGACTGCTGCGAGATCGATCCGTGTCCGGTCGGCCTCGTCCCCACCAACTGTTGTCAGTGGTTGTCCCAGCGTCCCTTGTTGCAGGAGCTCTGGGTTCTTGCTGGGAGTAGTCTACCCAGCCACGGCTTGCCCAGTCCTGAGCTTGCCAGTCACGGTCGTCCCAAGGGGTCGACCTATTCCAGGATTCCCAGGTGTTATCCCGAGAAGCCGTTTTGTTTGGACTCTCCTACGCAGCCTTGGCCACGTAGGCTTGTCCTCAGTTTGGGCGGGGCTGCCCGCGGCCTTGGCCGGCGGAGCTGCCCGCTCTTTGACCTGGAGCGGTGGGGCTACCCACGCAGCTCCGCTACCATGCAAAAGCAAAGCTGGTAGTGGTCAGCGTATTGGGCTCTCACAAGTTACCTACCCCGCTAGTTGGACAAGCTGCCACACAGTGGCACCTTTTTCCTTCCTTGAATGCACGGTTGTGCAAAAAGGGGCTGCGGTCATGAGCTGTTGTCATGCCATGCCGTCTCTACCTAGTGAACTGCCTAGCTATCAACAGTAGCTACCTAATTCCTAGGTTTTACCCTTTGCAGTTTGCCAAGATCTGAACGGTACGTGAGCGAAAGTCACGGAGGAAGGTGCAGAGACACCCGCTGACACGTCTCGTGAAGGGATGGAAGAGGCTTTAGTGTCGCAGCCTTCATCTGGCACTGCAGCCCGTCAGTGCAATTGGACATACATGGGTGGAGGCTGGGACTCACACCAGCTGGCAACTGAAAGTGAAGAGGATAATTTGGTGACCATAGACCCGCCGAAAGGCAACGGGCTCGGAAAAAAAAAACATGGAGAAACTCAAGGTCAAGCTGATGTGGGTCTTGAGATCTCTGCCTGGGCTGGGAGTATCTTGAGCCGGATTTGACAGACCCCAAGGTGCAATGGGAGGCCCACCAGTACTGCGAAAATCCAACAGGACCTAATTACAACCACTAGTCGCGCACCTAACGTCGAAGGGGTCGGCTTAACTCCGCGTCGAGCGTTTAACAAAGCAAATTCCCCCAAAACACGACGGCTGTCACTGCAAACTCTCAAATCCCTTTTCCACACAGGAAAAACGCGAAGGCAAGTTATCTGTCGTGCACATGCAGCATGCTATGGTT